CCAAAACATGTTATACATTATAACGCAAAAACTACTCATCGGATTAGCCTGAAGTTGTCACAGGAGGATTCAGAGCCCCTGATTACCCCTTAGACCAATTATCGTTAAAATTCGAGAGATGAGGGTGTCAAATTGGAAAAAAGTGGTACGATCTATCGTGGAATGCCCCAGAGGCCAAACAGCTAAACGGACGGATTTTGCCGCAATATTTGTTCTGTAACAACCTATGATTCAGTGAATGTGTATTGTATATGATATTCATGTTATCACCATCGTGTTGGTTTCGTCGAAACACGTCGCATGGCTTACAATTTGAAGTTTGAACTTAAAAACTCAACTAGAAAACTTGAAATCAGGTAAAGGTCATGTCCTGACCGGAAAAGAACCTGCTGCGTATGGGTCGATCTGTGGTGCTGAGCTGAACACAATCCCTGGTGCTGTCATCGCTCTACAGCGTCTCAATCAAAAGTTGTTGTCGAAAATGTGTTAGAGACCTTTGATGACCTAATGACTGACCATTCGAGTCACCACTGGTCATTAGCTGCACCTTGTCTTTAAAATGAGCAGAGGTGCCATGGCTACAACAGTATCTAGCGTTTTTAGCATATTCGTTCAAGGCAGAGGGCATTCGTGCTTTTTCCCCATATCTTATCATGATTGGTGAGGTCACATATTTGACCTGACTTCACTTCTCAGATGTAAAATCCCAGATTCAATGAACTGTTGGCACTTATAATTCCATTCATTACAACAAATTTCAGACTTATAGGAGATAATCTAGGTATAGCCAATGACAAGATTGCAGTTTTTAGAGGCATTAAAACTGAACTTGACATGACATTGTGACCTGACCTCAGGTGATCTGTGCTTGATTTCTGTGCACGATGCAACAGTGATGTACAATAAGATATACCGAAAACACCCCTACCCATCAAGACGAAGACTGGAAACCCGACCCCCCCCCCCCCCCCCACTCAAAAATCCGTGGCGACGCCCCTGATGCACCCTATCCGGTACCCGCCCCCGGCCACTGAATCGCGATTCCGGCCAAACATGGTCTCGAAAAGTAGGTCACAGGTCAAAGGTCATTAAGGTCAGGGTCATGAAAATTTCAGGGTAGGTGTAGAATTGATTAACGCGAGGGTACCTGCTGAAAGTTTCGTCGCGATCGGCCGCTTTTTACGCGAGTTATCCGCGAAAACCGAGGGGGGTCCGTTCGCCCCCCCCCTATACGGGCGAGGGTTAAAATGCCAAAATCAAAGGGGGCACGGTGCCCTCCCCGTTCCGCCGCCTATGCCCCTTGGCGATTCATCCAGGGTGATTATTGTGCGATGTACCATGGTTACCCTACTGCCGGTGTCGACTCTGGTGTCGACACTGCCATTTAGCTAAACGGCTTGACATATTGTGAAGGTCCCAGTTACAAAAATAGAAATATGAATGGCAAAAAGTGGGCCCATTGCATGCATGCAATTTCGGCATCTCTCGTTAGGTCATTAGCTGCATCGAACAAAAAATCTGACAGGCAAGTGATTCACAGCGGATTTGACAACTTAGCCGCGGCAAAGTGGTGGTCCTCAAGGCCTGCTATCAGCCATGCGCAGCTCGCAGTACCTACCACCGAACGACAACGCCAACACATGAGCCGAGCGCAACTCGTTCACGAATGCTGCAGGGTGCAGAATGCAACAAACTCAGCTTCTTTCAATGTAACCTATTGGCTGCGTCGCACGTAGGTATAGTCGACTACAGAATGACCAATGATGTTCCACTCCTCAGAAGCTAAGAAGGAGCGGTAAGTTGTGCCGTTTATCACGCAATTAAGCGTGTCGATTGTGAGCATCGGGACAAAGCTATAATTTGTGAACTCAGTCCGTGTGATGCGGCACAGCCTACCACTCCAGGCAAATAATTGCCTGTGAAAAGTGGAACATCATTCTGTAGTCGACTATACCCGATAAATAGTTCACATTTGACTACTTGAAGCGGCTAGGTGGTGATTTTCTGACACTCCCATCGGCCGTATTAACCCTCGCCCGCACATGGGGGGGGGTGGTTGCCACCCCCCCCCCCCAGGCAGTCTTTCTGCTCTGCACTCAACATTTTTAGAGCTAGAAGGCTGATTTTTCGTATAGCTGCTCGTCTATCCTTTCTTGATGTCCACTGAAAATTTCAAGTTTCTGTGATTTTTGGTTTCGGAGATATGACCTTGTTTTTCAGGTCATGTCATGACCCAAATGGCCAATTCTCAACATCTTGCGTTTGCCATGGGCCTTGTGAGCTTTTGACACCCTGATTTCGGCCTTTTTTGCCAGTCTTACCTCCCACCTATCATGGAACATGTTGTTCGACGATGTACAGGGGTCAAGGTCAGGGTCAAGGTCAACCTAGGTCATCTAAGATAATTGCGTTTTAGGCAAGCTGAATTTACTTTTCGTGAAGTTTTTTGACTGCATTTTTGGTAAAAGCTTCTCAGATCATGATTTCATGTGATATGGACCCAAAAACAATCGGTGCACACATCAGTATACACACAGACACACACAGACATACAAGCACATATAATTGACCTTAACCTAACTTGACCTGAAATGACCTCAGCAGCAAAATTCTGGTCGGATAGTGTGAAAAAGAGGTTCTAGCTGGCTTGGCACCAGAAAACAGCATCGTCATCGGTATTTGATAAGCAGCGCACTTGATATCCAACGGTGACCCAAAACAGCAACATTTTTTAGTTTGACCTGACCTGGAAGGTCAATGACTGACCTGAGAAGGTAAAACTGGGTATCATTGGATTCGTCTCTTCCCAAAGAATCTTTTTGGTCTTTACTGCTAAGCTCTATCTCCAACAGGAACGAAATGGCGCGGGGGGGGTGGCAACCCCCCCCCCCCATGTGCGTTCTAGGATGGGAAAATGGCATGTGCGGGCGAGGGTTAATCTTTAATCCCTCTCATCGGCCGTGCTCATCTCTCTCACTCTACCGCCTGCGCCTCACGGAGTTGAGCGGTGCGGCCGGTGCATTTCGTGTTACAACAGTGCAGAGTGCGAACTTGGGGGCGACCCACGTCCCACGTGATTGATGGCAGGCCGTTCTGACCACCTCACACTCATTTAGACCCTAGAGCACACTGAATTAAGTGATGTCGAAGCTTTAACAATGTTTTTTTACATGCCTCTGGCCTCATCTATCTCGTCTGGACTGTCATTTCTGTCACTAAGCCAAATCCGCACCACACTGCACCAAATCCACACCAGCCTAAATGCCTGGCTACACTATGCGTTTTCAGCGTGTGTTTTTTGCGAGTTTGCGTGTTTTGCGTAATATCGTTCTAGAAAGTTATTACTAATATAACTTCTTTAATATCTATTTATAAGTTATTAGAACTTTTAATTTTAAAAATAATTAAAAGTTTATACGGAAAAAAATATAACAAAACGTAATGTCATTTCTTTCTAGAACAATATTATGCAAATCATGCAAACTCGCAGAAAACACACGCAGAAAACACATAGTGTAGCCAGGCAGACCTTAACAAGCCCGCACCAACAAGATCTCGTCGAAATTGCCATACTTTGCAGACTGGCGCCCCACCCTCTGCAAGCGAGGGTTTAAAGGGACTATCCCACCTTCTAAAATGTTGTTAAAACCAGTTAAATTGTGCCCGACTTTATAGATTGGATGACCAGGAACACGGTTCTGGCATTTATTTTTCATTAAACGTCTTAGGCTTCCCATATTCCAAACACAAACTTTCAAATATGTGACGTCACAGCCCAAAATTACCTCCTTCCCCAGGCCACATTGCTGTCATAAAGCTGATTCTTTTTACTCTGTAGGCACCACAACAAAGTTCAGACCAAGTTTTAAGCGATTTTTCAACGAACAAACCCATTTAAATCAGAATGACTATACGAGGTGACGTCACACTAACGGTCGCTCCATGTTGAAGATAGGGCCTTGTACAAGGCCCATTTTCAAATGAAGGGAACGAATTTCTTCAACACCAAGAGGCCGCGGGGGTTGCAACCTAGATAGATAGTGGTTTCTGAACCTCGCCGCAAACTTGGCTATCTCAACTCAAACCCCATGGTAAAGGTGGGATAGTCCCTTTAACAATCCACTGGGAGGGTTTTCAGCATGAGAAGGGTGCAGCCCAAGCACTCGTTAGTAACCTGCCATTATTTGGCATATCCTGCATTCTTTAATGCTAGAAAGAAGTCAGCAGAGGGCTCATGACACACAGGCCGAGGCTGGTGGTTCGTAGACATTCTGGTTATCAATCAGGTGTCCTGGTCCCAGGCCACAGGAAAATGAAAAAAATAGTACAAACTATGCATATAATAAACATATTTTTGATACACACTGCTAGGATCATATTCAAACATAAAAAGGCTATAAAATGGGCTTGAAATACTAGCCATAACGCAGTTGTGACAATTGCAGCGCAGCTGCAGTAAGCATTTAGGATCAGTTTCTCTCAAGACGACACCCGGGTGACACAAAGAACACTTACTTTGAAAATCCAGTATGGATTATGCTTTTTTTACAAAAATTCAAATGCTGTTCTCTTCTCTCAATCTCCTCTTATAACTACACTTTCAAAAATCCGACCCAAACTTCAATTTTTTTGTACCATAAGCTTTTGTTTTGTTTGTCAGTGGTTATAATGCGATATCTTGGGAAAATATTCAATAAACTCTCGACAAGACGCTTGAAGTCTCAAGGCACTGAAATGCAACCAATGTTCCTCAGACTGGTGACCTTAGACTTTCACCTTAGGTCAAAGGACTATTACGTGTGCTTCAATCTCGTTGTACACAGCTGGGAACGACATCGATCTAACTCCCATAATTACACTGATCTATGCTAAATTTAGGGCACTTTATATTAACACTTGAACTCACCTGTTAAACACCATAAATCCATTTAACCATAGAAAAAAAGACGTAATTGATTTAAAAATTAAAATTTGTTCCAACGTGTCTAAAAAAGAAAAGCGAAATCAAAAGGCCCGGGCCGGCCCATAAATGTAGCAAAAAATATATGAGACTTTTCTGTTATTTTTAAAGACTTTTAGGGTAATTTCTTATCATGTCTCTAGCAATCTTGCCTGTCCGCGCACTTGACCGTTCTACAAAAAAGTTTTCGATTGTCTGCGCGTGTGGTAGATTTTTAAGCCACAAGTTGTTTTTATCAGATGCTGAGCGCAAAATTGTTGGGTAGGTACCGTGCCTTTTTGCAAATGGGAGCTCAGGGGAGGGGTTTCATCTCATCTCATGTCGACACCTTTTTTTAAACCCCACATCTCCTGCTCTCCCGTGAATTTCCGGGAGGCACGAAAGATCTCCTTTTAAAAGTGTCCAATCGTCCGATCCTGATCATATATGTGTGTTTGTAGGCCTGTACTGGTATTGCTTTATCTGCCAAGACAGACAAACTTGAGAAAAATCGAGTGATTGTACCTCTTTTGAAGGTCTCTGACTCTAACCAACTTGTCTGAAATTCACCGGAGAACAAATGTGGGGTTTAAAAAAAAGGTGTTGATGTGTACATTGAGCTTTGCATTGCACTACTGTAGTTTCGTGCAACTTTGACCACCAAGGGCAACTTTGGCCCACTCCAGGAAAACGAATTTATTTTTGCTGTAACGTTTTACACTCAAGGGAAAGTTAGACGGTCAGGGACCAGGGTAGGCTTCCCTTACCGTTTACTTTTGCCCCACTTTCCCTTAATTGCAATAAGTTACAGCAAAATAACTTTGTTTTCCAGAAGTGGGCCAAAGTTGCCCTTGGTGCTCAAAGTTGCACAAAACAATAACCTTGCACCACTGCCACAGGGGTCACAGGCTGATGCCACTTGGGTTCATGTTGAGGTGTGGCCATCTCTATGATTGTGGTGTGGCCCCCAGCGCCACTGGCCACATAGCAAATCCATACTGTGCAGTGCACAAACAGATAGGTAGGAATTGTAAAAAATGTGATAAGTTTGAAGTGTGGTGGCCTTGTAACTGAAAACTTTGGTTAACATGTATTTAGAGGCTGTGAGTGTTGTGCCATTGACCCAGTGTTCAACGTTAACACTTAACTATGATTTTGAAGGAGTCATTACCCCAGTTCTCCTTTCCAGATTAAATCAGAACCCTGATCATGTCAGAAGATAAGTTACCAGAATCTGAGCAGAAGAAGTGGGTTCAGTTTGATGAGGAGGCAGGTGGTACATCAGAAAGGCCAGAAAATGGAAATGCTCCAGCCACCATTGATGTCCAGAATGAAACATTAGAAGCAGCAGAAGATCCCAGCAACATAAGAGTGGGTTCCTCTTCTCTGGTTGTCTGCCTGTGCCCTGTTCAGCCTTGTGTAATGTCACTGTTTAGTTTACTGTCAATGCTTGAGGTTCTTGTGGCCTATAGGTAATCTGCGCCAGTTTGCAGTGTTCTGTGTGCCAGGTTGCACCATGCCACACTCCAAAGTACCATCAGCCATCCAGGTAGTACAGTACAGCCATACACAGCACTGGGTGGTGTGCCCACACACCACGTGTGACCGTGACGGCCGCCCCATTGTGGTCAGGTAAATGTGCCCAGTCCGGCGCCGGTGGACCGCAGTCCGGCCAGGAACGGCGTGCGCCCGGAGCCGGCGCTCACCACCTCTGCGGCGCTGCAGGACGTGTCGCTGGCCGACCAGCCGGCGCCCGCGGCCGGCGGGATGCGGCAGGGCTTCGGTGAGTGCCATTCTACCACCGCGGCGGGGTGCGGCGGGGCTTCGGTGAGTGCCACCCTACCACCGCGGCGGGGTGCGCCGGGGCTTCAGTGAGTGCCACCCTACCACCGCGGCGGGGTGCGGCGGGGCGGCGGTGAGTGCACTGCCACCCTACCACCGCGGCGGGGTGCGGCGGGGCTTCGGCGAGTGCCACTGACCGGGACCTGTGCCATCCTGCCATTAGTGGGGTAGGTATATCAGGGATTCAGTGAGCAGCTGCTGGCCAAGCATCATCTAGTCTCAACTCTCAACAGCGTGGTAATGTGGCGCCAGTGCATCAAGGAGGGATCCAGCTATCGCTTACTGCCGTGGGGACGAAAGTAGCACTACCAACGCGCATACACCGCCCACCGCTAGTTTGCGGGGGGGGGGGGGGTGTTCCTGTTCAGTGTTCACCCAGCGCTTGAGGCACTTAGGAAGAATGATGACTTCACGATTATGGTGTTTATTTCAGAGAATGGTGACGTCATAGTGACACTGCTGCCTCTGAACTCGACCCTGCCGTGGATCACACCGGCTCAGTTCCGACCAGAGCTGGTACCCGAGGAGCTCATGGCCCAGGGACTCACGGTAAGATGGACCCCAAAACTTACCCCCAGCCTTGATTTTGCTCGCTCATCTCTACAGCTGTCTCTGCGGTCTGTCCCTCTGTTTTACCTGTCCTTAACCGTACATCACCTCTGAATATCTCGGCCCGTTATCTGTCTGGTGTTGACGGTGGAGTACCCCGGCCGCGGTCCTCCCCTAGTCTGACCTCCTTCTGTTCTCCCTCTGACCTCCTCTCGCCCTCCATCTGACCTCCCGCCCTCCCGTCCTCCCTCCTCCCTCCCCCCGCCCTCCCGTCCTCCCTCCTCCCTCCCCCGCCTTCCCTCTGACCTCCTCCCGTCCTCCCTCTGACCCCCACCCTCCCTCTGACCTCCCGTCCTCCCTCTGACCTCCTCCCGTCCTCCCTCTGACCTCCCTTCCTCCTCTCGGCAGCTGACGGTGGAGTACCCCGGCCGCGGCCCTCCCCTCTGACCTCCTCCCGCCCTCCCTCTGACCTCCCCCCGCCCTCCCTCTGACCTCCTCCCGTCCTCCTCTCGACAGCTGACGGTGGAGGAGTACGTCCAGGGCATGGAGCTGCTGGTCAACGACGTCCGCTTCAACGCCTACAACATCTGCTACAAGCGCATCCTGGTGGGCTGGATCCTGATGGGGTTCGTGGTGCTGATCGCCATCCTGTTCGCCGTCAACCCGGGCATCGAGCTGTTCGGCTGCGGCGTCATCTGGCTCATCGTCAACGCCGTCGCCATCTTCGTCTGCATGTGGATCAAAATCAAGGTTGGTGGGCGCGCCCGCGGTCGCTGGCTGGTCGGGGTGGGAGGTGGGGACGGGGGGGGGGGGCGGTGCCGTAGCGGCGTGCGGTGGGCGCCGGGACCAGGGCTCGGTAGCCAGCTGTGTCCATTCCGTGGGAAGGAGCCGGGTGGCCGGCCGCCGCGTCTCGTGTGCCGAGCGAATTTGGCCCGAGTGGTTTCATGTTTATGTGGTTCATTTATTCCCAGAGGCGAGCAATCGGAGCAATCGTTACCTTAGGGACGGATAGGGTGGGTGTGTCGGTGTTAGTACGGGCGATGGTCCATTCGGACCCTTTTCCGTCACCCCCTGAGCCGGGACTGTTCCCGTCCGTGCGCAGCTGAACCGGGAGCTGGAGCGCTGCGTGGCGCTGGTGAACCGCGTCTTCAGCAAACACAACATCCTGGTGGGCGTGGACGACAGGGGTCGGCTCTCCTGCCACAAGGTCAACCTCTGCTTCATCTACTTCAAAACGCACGACTGCGTGGTGAGTGCCGGGCGGGCGGGCCGCCGGGGGTGGGCGTGGTCGGCCGAACTTGGTGTAGTGTTTGTGCAGGGTAAGCTTAAGGTGCAGGGTTGTTCTGTCGTGGCCGTTCATCCTCGGGTGTCACATTTGGATGGCTAAGCGCGCTGTTGTGTCCTTGACGTGCTGGTAGTAATTGAGTACCTCTGTCTGGATGGGTCGTTTTTGCCCTTGTCCTTCCGTTGCGTTGCCGTGTTCAGTCGTATCGATGCTATCATATCGCGTGCACTATTTGCCTGCTGTGTCATGGTTGGATTATGTTAAACAGCGTATGGGAATTGTGTTTACTTTGCTGGAGGATTCTGAATCACGGCGGCAAAAATCGCCGTGTCCGTGACTGACGGCACTCAGTCCGTGATTGACGCCGCTCTGTCCGCGACTAGCTCTGCTCTATCCGTGATTAACGCCGCTCTGTCCGTGAGTAGCTCTGCTCTATCCGTGATTGACGCCGCTCTGTGTTCTCCTTTGTCCATGACTGACACCGGCACCGCTGTATCCGTTATTGACACCGGCGTGTGACCGTGACTGACGCCGCTGTATCCGTGACTGACGCCGCTGTATCCGTGACTGACGCCGCTGTATCCGTGACTGACGCCGCTGTATCCGTGACTGACGCCGCTGTATCCGTGACTGACGCCGCTGTATCCGTGACTGACGCCGCTGTATCCGTGACTGACGCCGGCCGCGTGCCGCTTCGATTGACGCCGGCCATGTTGCGCTCTGTCCTTGAGCAGAAGACGCTCCAGGAGGTGGTGGACCGGGAGGACGCGGCTGGGTCGGCGGCCGACGACGCCGAGGCGCGCGCCCGCTCCCTGCGCGTCCAGCAGAGGATGGACATCGACGACTCGGATATTATCATCACGGGCAGCCAGACGACGCGTCTGTCTCGCAAACAGGTGGGTCTGCTGCACCGGCCACCCGCCGCTGTACGGGGGGCTGTGGGACCCTGCCCCCCCCCTGCGGCACGGATCCTGCCCCCCCCCCCACACACACACGCACACACACTGCGGCACGGAACTCGTCCGCCGCCCCCGACTCACTCCGGTCCGACACGAAGGGACGGGGACCCGGCTCTGTAAGATACGGACGCCACCTCCCTGCGGGCTGCACGGGACGGGGCCGTGAAACCGCTGTACTAACGGCCCCGCACTACCGCTCTGTAAACCCTACGGAACTTACCGAGTCTGCGACGGCCGGCCGCGCTGAGCCCTCAACGCCTGGTCGGCTCCACCGGCGTGTGGAATAGCACGTACTGCGCTCATTGTGTGGGAGTTAACGACAGCACGCTGCCAGCTGAATGAACTGTGCAGCCTAGACAATGGCCTCACTCGCCAGACCATAGAACCTTTGTGGCCCTCTTCCACCAATTGAATCACCACGGCACAGTTGATAGAACCCTAGTGTATGTAGATACTTCGTGGGCACCATTAATGCCCACCCATTAGCCCGCTTGTAAAGATTTGTTTTCTCGCCGCCACTCTCCAGTATTTATCATTTCATTTCATTTGTTCTCGTGTAACCGACTCGAGCCCCGATGCAGACGCTATTGCCCTAACTACATACAGCTGCAGCAGGGCAGGTGCAGGTGCGACCCGTGCTGGACATGCAATATGCACGCTGGGTGCACCGTCAGATAGCATGTGGCATTGTCCCGCGCCAGACCTTTCCTGGCCGGTTCCCGACACTTGAGTCATGCGTTCTAGGAAAACGCGGGCGTGTCATGTGCTCGACGCCCGACCGACAGGTGCCTCCGGTTCTGACTGCGGATTGAGTCTGTGCGGTCGGCTGATGCAGTCGGCCAGCCGTCAGCTGATAAACGTCAGCTGACCGTCCAATGTCCAGCTGGCCTCTGTCCGCAGTCGCAGGCCTCGTCCCGTCCGGTCAGCTAGAAGCTGTCTGGATTCTGTTGGCGTCGCAGGCTTCTGGTCCACTAATTCGTCATTTGACTGAGAGGAAATGCTCCCTGCCTATTGTAAATCGCGATAGCTCGAATATTACTAGTGCGGTCGACGTCAAACTCAACGTGCTTTCTTTTACGTCAATTTTACATCCCAATTATTTTACCTGATGTGTACTCATGCTCAATTTCGACATTTGACTCGATCTCAACCCTCCACGTTACCTAAAAATTCACATTTTAGAATGCCTTAGGCTAGTTTCGGTGAGCCACTGCCACCTCGTTACGATGCTGAGTTTCAGTGGCAGTACTGGGATCAGTCAGTTACGTTCAGCTGAAAAATCAATCAAACGCGAGTGAAGCCCCAAGCCACACAGGCCAGGCCGCGCTCTGCTGAACCAGTGGCGTCAGTCATAAATGGTTGACCACTGTGGCGTACTTTTCCCGTCGTGACACCGGCTTCTCTGCCGATGAACGGCTGTCACGTGTCTGACGTGGACGTTATGCCGTTTACTCCGTAGTGAGTTGTATGTAGCATGCAGTTGCAATGTTTAGCCCATGCTTCTTTACCGCATGCCAAGCAGTTGACACGCTTCTGTGTTGCGTCTGTGTCGGCTGGGGTGTGCGTTTTCCGTAGAGGCCGCACGCCGGTAGACTGCGGTGTCCGTCAGTGGCCGCGCCGGGGCCCGTGTGTCGTCCGTGAGTCTGTGCGTGTGCCGGCGGCGGCGGGCGGCGGCCGGTGGCGGCGGCGGCTGAGCGAGCGGCTCCGGCCGGCCTCTGTTGCAGGAGCGCGCCCGGCGGCTGCTGCTGCGCTACTCTCAGCGCTGGGCCAAGGACTACCTGCGCAAACGGCTCGACTGGACGGTGGACATGAACGAGCGTCTGGAGGCGGGCGCCGGCGCGTGCTCGCCGCGCCACCTGGCCACCGCCCGCTGCCCGTGCCAGTACATCGAGGACCACCTCAGCTGGAAGCCGCAGAAGCGGCCCAAGGACCGCTGCTGCGGCTTCCAGCTGCCCGAGAGCTGCGCGGCGCTGCTGTGCTGAGCTCGGACGGACAGACGGCGCGCGGGACGGCCGGTCGCGCAGACCGGCGGCGGCGGGCCGGACACTCACTGACGCAACGACGAATTATACGACTTTATTCCATCCTCGGTACATTCCATGAGGCGGCCTTTTGGCGCATCTTGCTTGTCTGCGGAGCAGACCATGAACGGTTTTGAATGCTTTGCTTGGATGTTTTATTTGTTGACCGTGTTGGCGTTTCGGTCACCGAGTGTTTTTATTCTTTCTTTCTTTTTTTTTTTTTGAGTGTTTTTATTCGGTTGACCTGAGCCCCTGCGTGTTAGCACCATTTGGTGTGTCCTGTGAGTATCAATGTGTGGGTCTGGCCGGGTAGGTTCCGCTCTACCAGCTATTTTTATTATAAATATTTAGCATGAGCAGTTATTGTGAATGATTGCTCACTTTATTTTAAGTGGCACTGCGAAGTTTATATAGCGTTTATTCCAAGGTGCCTTGGACGGTGTATAGGTGGGATGGGGTGGGGGCAGAGTAAGATAGATCTGTAAGCAGTCACCGGAGCGCCGCCGCCTAACGCGGCCGGTGATCGGCGGGGGGGGGGGGGTGTGTGCCCGACTTCGCCCTGTGTTCGCTGATCGGCAGCTTTCGGTACGATGCCGTCCATTCGCCGTTGTGTCACTGGCTTTATGTTCCGCATTCGCGTGTGTAATGTTTAAGTTTATTTAGAGCGGAAGTTTTTATCTGGCAATAATAGCTATGGCAAACATGGGGAACCGGCTCTGCCGCTCGGCGGCCGCTGGTTAACTGTACGATCTGGGTGCTCTGTGATCGGACTCTGTGTCGAGGCGTTGAGGCGTCGGGTTGTGTTTTGGAGCGGCGGACTGTCCGGGACCCAGGTAGTGGGCACTACGCAGTCTGAGGGTAGTTATCAGCTGCAGATGGTGGGGCCTGCGGTCGCTGTCGGGTCGGGTCCCAGCCGCCAGCCTTTCTGGTGTCCGCTCCCAGCTGCTGGCGTTTCGGCTCTGCGGCCCAACCTGCTGACCGCTGGGGTCCGCGGCCTCTCAGCCGCCCGGACAGGGTGTTTTTGTATGTTTCCGACAGTGCCGTGTCAACTGCCCCGGGCTGCCTGTCCGACCAGCGCCGCGCAGCCGGCCGCCGGTGACTGGGCCTCGCACGGGCCTGTGGGAGAGTGGCGTGGGTCTCCTCTCGCATAATATACCATTTGCATATCCTAACCCTGGTGGGGAGGGAGTATGTTTCTCGTTTGGGGCGGCTCCCTGAATACAGCTCTACTAACAGCTTCGCTGTCTCTCGTATCGTAGCAAAATCAATTGCAGCGTAATATAAAGACGTGCGTAGTACGCCGCTCCTTTGCAGGTTGGCCCTGCGTATTCACAAGCTGGCGCCTGTCTGACATTTCTAGCGGTAATGCGATGCGAGCTCGGCCGTCGCCAGGCGCGGCTTGGTTCCCCGTGTAACTGGGCGGCGTGCCCGGCGAGTGAGGTGCATTTGATGAGCCTCCGGGATATATCGCGGTAATCGGGCCCGGCACCGTCCCGTGACACCTGCCTGCGTCACAGGGGGCGGTGACGTCAGCGGTGACGACGGCGTGCGCCGGTCACGAGAGGCGGCACGGGCACCCCGGGCGGTGTTTCACTGGACGCTGCTACCTCGCTGCTATCGCATTTGCGATTTCGCGAGCTGACGTCACAGCTTGTGGTAATGTTGAAGATACGAGTTTGTTGATGTCTCCATGGAAACCCAATTTGACACAAGAGTGGTAGCAGCGCGCTGGTAGCGGCCGTGAAACAGGGCTCTGGTCGACACGGTGGCTGGTGACACCTTGTAGCCAAACCGCAACAGCCTATTGTGGCGGACTCGGTACCAGTCTGGGCACTTGCTCATTGTGTCACCATTTCAAGTCGGGGCATATCAGCAGCCTGATCTCACTCACTGGGGCAATAAGCAGGGGCAAAAGTGCAGCTGGTTATGCTCAACAACCCCAATGTCTCACACAGTTTACATGTAACTAATAGACATGCGCTCTAATGTGATTCTTAAAGATCATACTCGAGCCAAGGCCGTGTAATTGCTCAATGTTTGCTGGCGTGGTCAACGGGAAGCACGTCCACCGTCCCTTGCCGTTCCCCAGTGTGCCTGTTCAGTGTTCCGCTGAGAAATTGCCGCACTGTTGTCCCGTGTTCGTGCGATGTGTCCGTCCTATCGTTCGCCACTGGAGAACGGCGAGATTCTCCGAGTGTTCGTCCTATTTGTTCCCCAATTCTTGCCGCCAGCCCGAGCCTAAAGCGGACCGGGTATGTCCTGTTTGACGCCCCAGTGGCCGAGTCTGTGCTAATTGTCCCACCAGTGGGCGAGTCTGTCCTGTTTGTCCCCCCCCCCCCCCCCCAGTGACCGGATACGTCCTGTCTGTTCCACAGTGATTGAGTCTGTCTTGTTTGTCCCCACAGTGATCGAGTCTGTCCTGTTTGTTCCACAGTGACCGAGTCTGTCCTCTTTGTGTCCTCTCAGGCCGAGTATGTCCTGTTTGTTTCTGCAGTGACCAGGTCTGTCCCGTTTGTTTCCCCAGTGACCGGCTCTGTCCTGTTTCGTACTATGTGACCGAGTATCTACTGTTTGTCCCCTCAGTGACCCAAATCCGCTTTTTCCAGTGACCAAGTCTGTCCTGTTTGTTCCAGTGGCTGAGTCTTTACTGACCCCCCCCCCCCCCCCAGTGACCGGGTCAGTCCCGTTTGTCCCCCCCCCCCAGTGACCGGGTCTGTCCCCCAGTGACCGGGTCTGTCCCGTTGGTCCCCTCAGTGACCGCCGCTCCCCAGTGACGGAGCCCCTGGCTGTCCGACAGCACCGCGCCACGCTGCTGCTGCTGCGCTACTCGCAGCGCTGGGTCAAGTTCCACTCGCGCGGCCACCTCAGTCTGACCATCAACCCGCTGGAGGTGTCGCCGGGCGGGCCGGCGCTGCCGCCGCGCCACTGGAACGGCGGACGCTGCCCCTGCCAGTTCATAGAGGAGCATCTCGCCTACAAACTCAAAGGTACCTGCTGCGAGCGCATGGGACAGATCTGCGGACCCGACTTCGGCTTTGAGTAGGTGTCGGCGGCGGCGGCGGCTGCCCGGTGACTGTGGCGACACCTGTCCAGCCGGGGGCCGCGGGAGCCAGGCTGGGTGCGCCCGGCGCCTCGGCACCCCAGCGGGGACCGCGGGGCACCCGGCTGGGGTGCACCAGGCTCCCGGAAACCCCTCTCGCCGTGCGGTCAGCGCCCAGCAGTGCGCTCCGTCGGGAATTCAAATGCACAAGGGCACACTCGGCTAGCCTGCTAGCTACTTTTTGAATGTTTTCCAAAAAGAGGCGCTCGTAGAGGCCAAAGTAGTTTTATATGGGAGTGGGGTGATACTATTGTTACGAGTACTTTCTGATGCAACAAATAATCTGCTTATGGATCTGAAGGTCGAGGTGAACTCTACTAAAATTGTTAACACCCATTCTATGTAGGGCTGAGCTGCTTGTTTGCGTCGTTAGAATCCGATTTTCTCTCGGACAATCGTTACCCTTGTGCACTGACGCCCCCTTTTCGCCCCAGTTTTGGGACAGTGAAGACCAGGAGGTAATGGTTCATGGTATGTTACGGTTGCACCTGTCTTCTGTCTAGACACGCATGGGCTGGCCGTGCCGATAGCACTGGGATGCCTTTGGGCGACCTGCATGCACCCGGCGCCGGATATTGCCGCCGCTATTTTCTATGTAGTTTTATGATAAGCACTTGCACCAATTTTGCTGCAATCACGAGAATTTATTTTTAAATCACCCTTGTTAGTTTTATTTTGAGTTTTTATACGTAAGTGCCTGTTTTATCGTGTGTGTGACGTCATCACCGAATGACCGGTGTGAAGGTGTGAAGGTGAGGTGATGTTCAGGTCACGTGACTAGTTCATGTCGTGGGATCCATTCCGTGTAAATCGAGGCGGCGGCAGCTCTGTGGTTCCGTCAGGTGTCTCAAGTGATATTTCAGCCGTCCAAATGTGCCCAGAGTCCGTCCAACAAGAGGCTCTTGTAACACTGATGTAAAAAAATATACACGATATATTATGTTTGTAAGCGTTCTGTTGCTGTGAATTGCGGTTGATGGGCGAGGTGATGGGCCCCTGGCAGCCACTGCCTGGGGGCCCGTCTGGCGGGCTGGGGCGCCTACCCTTCTGTCGGCTGGCGGTGCGCGGCTGGTGACGTTCAGCGCTCGCCGGCCGCCGCGTGGCCGCGCGCGTCACTGACGAGCAGCGCCAGCCGCGCCCGCTCGCGCTGCAGCAGCTCCAGCTGCGCGGTCACGTGGCGCGCGCCGTGCCGCAGCTTGTCGCACGTGCTCAGCAGCCGGTGCGCCTGCAGGAAGACGGCCTCGGCGCCGGGCGCCTCGCCGCCGCGCGCCGACGCCAGCTTGTCTGTGGACATGGTGGAGTGCTGAGCTGTGGCGGCAGCGGCACTGACGACCAACACCAGAGCGCAGTGCTTATTAGAACAATAGAACATGCTATGCCATATATTGCTCAAGTGAGATGTCAAACAATGCTCTTAGTTTCTAAATCATGTGTACAAATTTGCAAATAGCCTGAAAGGAAACATGATTAACATTTGTGATTTGAGACAATTCATCGTAACATTGTGGATTGAAGGTTCAGCCAGTAGCGGCGGAACACCTTCAATTGAGGGGGGCACTGCCGACTTTTGGTCCCATTCTTTCCATGCAACGTCCATAGGGCTAATGTTAAAATGCCAAAATCAAGGGGGCACGGTGCCCTCCCCGTTCCACCGCCTCAGTAGGCGGAACTATGGTCATGAGTACCCAAATATAGGAACGTTCCCATTTGTGGGAACGGAGTTCCCAAATATGGGAACGGGCGTTCCCATTTATGAGAACGGAAGGCAATTTTTCGGCCGTTCTCCCACTAAAACTCAAAAGTGCATCACGTCTCAAAAAAGTGCACGCTGATTTAAGTATCTACTAAATCTCCATAAAGTTATCTTTAATCTGACCGTGGAACAAGGAAATTGACCGTGGAATGATATTTTTAATGATTTTTTGAAAATGACAGAATGGTGGAAATATGGGTTATACGACATTTAACATGCAATTTTAAGGAAAATGAAGCATTTTTTTTTAGTTTGAGGTAAAGTATAATAATTTTCGCCTGGTTATGAACTTTCATACTATCGACACCAGATGCTGACAAATGCAAGCGAAGACGCGGACGGTCCCGAGGTAATATTGTTGACTTTTGTGTCGGGGCGGACGACCGCGTGGAACGTGAGTGAATTTACCGAGCTACTGTTGTAAACTCAGTTTAAGCGGTTGAAAATTATCCAGCTGTATTTTATCATCCCGGAAAGACATATTTTATTTGGATGCTAGCTGTTTAGAGTTGTTTTATAAGGAGCGTCATGAGCGTGGTTTTTGTCTTCCGTGTTTCTAAGCGTGATCGTTTCAGTGTTGCCGCGGCCAGATTTTACAGCGTACCAGGATCGCATCCAAATCGTACCAGATTGGCTGTTTTTGGCTGCGTACCGTACCAGATCGTAGTAGGTCAAATTGTTATTAATTCAGTACTTAAAAATAGCCAAAATTTCGGTATGTTCATGCCAGTAAGTAATTTATGACTCATTTGACCCAGAAGTTCGACCCATTCGTCTCCCCGCGTCGCCCCTTGAACATACATAGGCGGCGGAACGGGGAGGGCACCGGGGCACCGTGCCCCCCTTTGATTTTGGCATTTTAACATTAGCCCTATGGGCGTTGCATGGAAAGAATGGGACCAAAAGTCGGCAGTGCCCGACTTTTGGGAGGGTGTTCCGCCGCTACTGCCCTTGAAAGGCAGAAAGGCGCTCTTCTGAAAGCTCCCGAGCTGTACCTATACCTACTTAAAATTGGCCTAAAAATAGATAAATCGAAATCCTGCCTTCGAGGGGGGGGGGCACTCCAGTTGAGACTGGCGATTGCACCCAGGATCCTAGCTTGCACCCAGGATCCTAGCTTGCACCCAGAATCCGAAAATTCCCACAGTAATATGCCAGTGAGAATGGAAAATTATTTGCTGGGTGTCATTTAGTTTTCCAACGAAATCGCACAATTTTGGGACAGTGATTTTCAAACTAGCCTCTTTCCTTAGCCCTTCGACCGTCGACAGAACTCACATTTCACTGTTCACAACAGTGGCGGCGGAAGCGGGGGGGCAGCGGGGGCACGGCGCCCCCCCATCTTCCAGGGTGGGGGGGCAAACATATCTTTTTGCCCCCCC